TAGCTCGTAAAGACAGCAAACTTGCCTATCACGTTTTTGTTGTGCATTTCCTCCGTCTCCCTTCAGCAAAAGCAGTGCAGTTTTGTTCGGCAACTCATCGCGTATTCCAGTCGAGGCTGGCTGCCGCTGCTGCGGTTTAATGAAAAGATAAGCTTTCCCCGAGAGATACACTCATTGCAAGTCATTCAGAGTGATATCTTGTGATGGAAGGTAAAAAGAAAAAAGTGCGCAAAGAATCGTGGGAGAGACGCACGCCCGGAATTACGCTGCGGGACAGGGAGACGGGGACTCGGTGCCTGAATTGGAGAACAAATGCAAATGACAGCGATCATATTGGCTGTTAAGGAAATGGCATCTGGTAATCTAGGGAAGTAAACATCATCGCCCGTAAGGTGATGACGCCACAACAGTACGACATAGATTTTGTAAAATAAAAAATTATGCCGGTTTTATTTCCCCCCGTAAAAAGCATTGGGATACTTTAACACGTAGGATGAAGCTAGTTGTAATAATTGGCGAAATGTCGTGCTCAGATTGTAAATGTTGTGGGTTTACCCTCCAACACACCGGTGTGCTGTACTAGTAACGAATTGGCAATACTCTTATTCATATTCTTAGGTTTTTTCGGTAAAGTCACGTAGGTAAAAAATTAATAAAAGTAAAATAAAATAAAAATCACGACGTTTCGGAGGCAACACAAGCTTCCGTCTTCAGGTGGAACCGTCACAGCCACGACAGCTGTATCAAGTAAATGAGAGATTACAAGAGCTACCACTCCGTATATATAATGGTTGAAGAGGGGAAGGGCCAAGTACGGCACACTTTTTATTAATATGGTAAGGTGAGGCTTAAGACTAAGAATAGACTGCATAACAACCCTTACTAATTGGCTGTGTCGGATGGTGGCGGGTTTAACGACACATTTCTATATTTTACACGATCTAACCCACAAACCTGTATCATGGATTCATTGGGATCATTTGTGGCCACTTCCGTGAATTGAGCATTTGGCTTCGCGTGAAATGTTAACTACCCCGCCTGGTATGCAGGAGGTCGTGGGTTTGATCCCGACCCTGACGCCTACTGTTTATTTGGAGTTTGCGTTTCTCTCTCTCTCTCTCATCATCATCACGGTGGCTAGAAGATGTTAACTACCTCGCCTGGTATGGAGGAGGTCGTGGGTTTGATCCCGACCCTGATGCCTGCTGTATATTTAGAGTTTGCATGTCTCTCTCTCCACGGTTACGTTGATTTTTCTCCGGGTCCTCCGGTTTTTCCCCCTGCACATTTATAAAACACGCGTTTAGAGTGTTTGTCTGCAATAAATTGTGACGTGGTGAGCCACTTCAATGAGCTATCATTCGTGAATGCCAGGTCGCTTCTGAGAAAGAGCTATATAGCTCAGTGGGCCTTACCTGGTAAAATAAAAAAAATAGTTCAGTTTAAAGCCACCATACACGAGGGGTTGACGCTGATCTCTGTGGTCTCGTGGCCACACCTCGCAGCACCGTTCCTACAACACCTGGCAAGCCTCGGTGGTCACCCATCCAAACGCTCATCAGTAGGCTCCAAACCACAATTAGCCTCGGCAGAACTATTGGGCCATGATAGAGGGGGTCTTTTTTTTTTGGGGGGGGGGGTTAGATAGCAAAAAAATGTATCTATTATGGATGATATTGGTCGTGAAAGCCCGCGTGTTAAACTGACAGAACCATTGGGAGCGGGCGCATTCCGGTTGGAGTTTTAGTCGTGGACAAGGTCGTGTGTTTGCTCCAGTGCGTGACCCATTTTTATTTTCCTTTCTACTCCCGGTCGTGAAAAGAATTCGAACAAACTAAAGTGATGCCAGGGCAACAAGCAAAGTCAGTTTACATTTCGGCTGATATCGGTTATCGGGCCAAGCCTAATTAAGGCGGCTGCTGTCACTCCGTCAGTCCGTCCTGTTGGCTATGCATCCAAATGAGGGCTCATGGTTGGAAAGATTCAATAACTTTGTAGCGAGTCAGTCACTTTATTCCCTCCCCCCACCACCAATCCCTGTCACTGTGAATGATGTGTCCAATTCATTTGCAGAGGGATAAAAACGAGAGAGAGAGAGAGAGGGGAGAGAAAAAAATACTTATAACTGTGGCGGCAGGGAAATGTGCAACACTGGAAGATGGGGTGTTTCAACCCCGAGCCTAATATGCGTAATGGTCCTTGTTCATAACCCATCACTCATTTGCTGGCAGCAATTTTAAGCTTAAGCAAGAAAAAAAATGGTGAAATATTACTACCTTGTGTTACGGACAAGGGGAGATAAAGAGAGGCAGACAAGCGGAGACGTGGGTGGGTTTGAATCTGTCCAAAATGACCAGCCGAACGCGGGGAATTAACCTTGAGGTTGACACGGACGTGACTTTCGGGGAGGGAGAGAGATAGAGAGAGCGAAAGAAAAAAACGATGGATTAATTTAATCATTGTCCGACAAAAAAATCCACACGCAGTTCCTTTGCACGGTTGTCAAATCCTCCACGCTGCTCATGCGGGGTTTTAACGGTTGAAGGAAAGCGACGCTTTTGGGCGCCCAAATGTTGTTATAATTTTTTAACAAAAAGACAGGGGTTGTTTTTTTTTTGGCTTGAGGTGATCGAATGATTAACGATTTGTGTGCCTGACCAGAGTCTGTCCTCCTTTACGCGGGGGGGGGGGGGGGGTAGGGCATCCCACAGCGCTTTACACACGAATAAGTGACTCGCATCGCATCTCATCAACACGCTTGAAAGGGCATCGCCACTCCCTAGTGGCAGCTGTCCCTGTGCGGCACAACAAAAAGAAATGACCTGACACCGGTTATCTTAGCAGCGGCGGGGTGGGTGGGGTAAGTGCTGCCCCACATACTGTGTCTGGACCAGAGAGAGAGGTCGATTGAATCTCGGTGGTGGCTCCGGTCATCCACGCAGCGCCGGTCATCCTCGCAACGACGGCTTGTGGCCGGCCCTCGAACAAAGGGCGGTCACACCGCATCGCCGCGCGGTTGCTTTTAGACGAGCTTTTGCGGCCGTCTGGAACGCTCTTCCTTCCGATGTTAGGAAGCCACTGGAGCTGCTATATGCACTTTAAAATTCAGATTGAAGACACATTTCTTTGGAACTGCTTTTTGTGTTTAGTTTTGCCGTCCATTCCCCCCACCCCCCTCCCCAACTCCGATTAGCACGGCTGGCCGCGTACGGTGGTGCGAAAGAAGTTCAACGTACACACACACACACGCACCACACGTACACACACACACACACGCACACACACGTACACACACACACACACACGTACATGCAATCCCACTCGATTAATTTACAGTGTGATTTTCAAATTTTGGCAAATTTGGACGACGCAGCGGGCACGCGATGGCCTACTCTCTTCTCATTGACGCCAGGGCATGTTTAACGTCCACCGTGAAGAGGACAGCGCGCATTGTACAGTTAATAAACCTGCAGCAATAGCCAGGCGTAGCCAACGTCTCATTGCTGAGCCACATCACCACTGTTTACCCAAAGATGTTCTCACTTAGCCTCGAGGCTTTTTTTTTTTGGGCAGGGGGGGGGGGGTCAAGGATGGTTTCGCATTTGGATGTGTGACCAAAGCCATTAATGATTTAATTGTCTCCTTGTGAGAGGAAACCGGAGTATCTGAAAGAACACCCCCCCACCCACCACCCACTAAGGCACAGCTTTGGAATGACATGGGGAGACGGGAAAGAAGGAACGCATTGATTAAAGACACACCACACACACTTCAAGCTGTGAAGGAATGTTAAGTAGGCCTTGGGCAGGACACTTCTCTGCCACTGGCAAAGAATAGCTGACGGGAGAGGCCGATGTGGGCAGCGGAACGCGGCCGACAGAGACAGAGCGGCGAAATCGTCTCCCGGTTGGTGGCAGAGGCGTTGGGCGAACCGTTGTTTCGCACAGCCCAATCTAGACTCGGAATTCTAATTTAGACTTCAGGAGGAATCCCGATGAGCCGTGAAGCTCTTTTATCCACAGATGTTCCGTGTGGGCGGGTCAACTGCGCGAGATGGCAACGATTTTGGAAGCTTTTATCCCCTGCAGTGGATTGATCGTGGCTGACGACAACGACGATGCTGACGTTTTGTTGGTTCTTTCGGTAAAGTCACGTAGAATGGAAATAATAAAATAATAAAAATAAAACATAATAAAATAATTCTCACGACGTTGCGGCCACAACGCAAGCAGCCGTCCTCAGGTGGAGAACAGGTCTGTCGAGAAGACAGACTCTGTCTTCTGTTGTCTTCTCGACAGACCTGTTCTCCACCTGAGGGCGGCTGCTTGCGTTGTGGCCGAAACGTCGTGAGAATTATTTTATTATGTTTTCTTTTTATTATTTTATTATTTCCATTCTACGTGACTTTACCGAAAGAACCAAGAAGATGAATTCCTGCAGTCACGAAAGCTTTAAATCGAAATTTGATGCTGACGTTGTTGACGGCGATGAATAATAACACTGGTCAACAAAAAAAACTTTTTTTTCTGGCCTGGACTTTTGCAGCTGTTTTAGACTAATTTCAGCGTGCTGATTCCAAATCTGATCTCAAATTAGCTCTATCACATCTCATTTTTATGCTATCGGGATACCCCATTTTCATTGATTTTACCCGAAATTAACTCTGTCACTTATGATTGCAAGTTGTTGCGAGTCAGTGACTGCTTTAGTGTTAAAGTATGGTGCTGTATTTTTAGGATAGTGAGGTTATAATATCATTTTATGTAGATATCCACATTTATTTAATATTTTTCTTCTTCAGTTCTTATTGAAAATGCAATAATTGATATCTCAAAAACCTGATGTGATAGACAAAAACTGATGCCAGATTTGGAATCAGCACCCCGAAATTACCTTACAACCGTTGGAATACCTCATGCCATAAAAAAGTGTGTGGACCAGTGTAATACGACACAAATAAATGTCCTGCTGCTGCTGTCGCTGCTGTTGTTTCCCTTAAGGTTGGGGGACACACGATGCTGCCGATTCGCTGGCTGCCGCCAGAGAGCATCATGTACCGCCGCTTCACGGCCGAGAGCGATGTGTGGAGCTTGGGGGTGCTCTTCTGGGAGATCTTCACCTACGGCAAGCAGCCCTGGTACCAGCTCTCTAACAACGAGGTGCGCGGAGTGCACGGAAGCGCGCACACACGCGAATGCACACGCGCACACAGAGAGGGAGGGAGAGCGAGTGAGAAAGTGAGCATGCGGGTCAGAATCAGAATATCAGAATCAGAAGTCGCAGATGTCCAGTAGACAGCTCCAGTAGACCCATTCACCAGGAGTTTCCACTGCTTTTCGTGTTTAGCTTGTTGTCCTTCCCCTGCACCTTCAATTAGCATGATGTGTGCGGTGCGAAAGAAGTTCAACATACCATTGGTACCTCATTTGCCAGTAAAAAAATATGATAATTGTTTTTTTACCCTTTTATCTGGCAACAAAACTGTGTGAACCAATCAACTTCAAGGACAGTGCATACATTCACAGAGTTATGTGTTTTGTTTGCATTATGACTGCAGGTATTGTGGTCTATGCAAACATGACTGCTCGTAAAAAAAGGTGTCAGTTTTGTTGCCAGATAAAAGGGTAAAAAAAACAATTATCAAGTTCAACATACATACGTGCATTCACCGGACTCGTGATCGACGCCGGTGATGCATGGCACCAAATGCGCATTCGTGGCCAGCGTGGTGGGCGAACGTCGATGGCATTGCCGTCTTCCGTTTGAATCCCGAGCATATCCGTACGCACACGAGCGCATAGGAATTTCAAAGACTTTTTGTCATTATTATTTTGGCAGCTCTCTACTTTTACCTTCTACTGTTTCTTTCCGCTGCTGAAGTGAATTTCTCAAAAGTCATTAAAATCAGGGGAAATTAATTGAACGCGTTAGCGACCACGGGGAGATAGGACCCCTCTTTTCAGGGGCGAAAACAACTTTTTGGAGTGCATGACCCAGCTTGCATTGAGATTTGTATTTTTTTCAATTTTTGTGAGTTTTTGCATTCACATACCAATTTATGAACTCGCGCTCTCTGTAAGAAGTAAGCACCCGAATTACCTTCCGTGGAATGTTATTTGCATTAAGGGCCTATCGCTGGTTACACATTTAACTCCGTGATAATGAGGTCTTTTTAACGCAAATTTCCCGCGGGGCTTAGTGACATATTAAAAGCGCGCGCACGCGCACACACACAAGTTTGTTATAACGCGTTTTGTATTACGCACTTATCTTTAAAAAAAGAAAGAAGTGCCTTCATAATTACAATATGAAACTCATAAGGGCCATGCTGTTGTATTTTTCCTGCCACGTCCCAAAAAATTGCATAGATTTATCTTGGTTCTGCATTTACACCTTGTGTGCCCCGGGACATATTTTCTTGCAATCCGTCTCATTAATCTGACTCGGAGAGACTGGTCCATGGTTTTTGTGTTATCCCTACTCGACTACGCCTCATACTGGTTTGGATTCCGATCAAAGTACTGGGCAGATTCCAGCCTGTTCAGAATGCAGCTGCTAGAGTGCTCACACACACACACACCATTCCGTGAGCAGATTGCACCAGTCATCTTATCTCTTCATTGGCTGCCGGTCAAATTCCGAGTGTATTTTAACATACTTGCTATTAACCTATAAGGCTCTAAAAGGGCTCACTCCCATTACTTGCAGGAACTAATACATTTATATATTCCATCAAGGTCCTTAAGTTGTTCTGATCTCCAACTGCTCAGCACTCCCAGGTCTAGGTTGTGCTCTTTTTGTGATCGGGCTTTTGTTAGCGTGGCACCCACAAGCTATGGAACGCCCTGCCACTTGAAATCAGGGCAATCCGAGTCGGTAGATAGATTTAAGTCTGCTTTGAAAACCCCATCTCTTTAAAGTGGCCTTCCCTCCTTTAGTTTGTTCGATTGCCCTGGTTGTGTTTTTGTTTCACTGCTTTTCAAGCATTGCGCATTGATATCCTAGGGTGGAATTCGCATTGTACATTTGAATTATTATTATCAACTTAGCGGCGTCTCGTGGGGATACGAGCTGTTGCGCTGGAGACTCCTCAGCTTGTTATACTTATGCCTGTTTTTTTTGCAGGCCAAGTGAAAATTAATGTGGCTTCAACTGTACCGCGTGTTACAAAATAAATTCTCACCATACGGAAGGGGGAGGTGGGGTTGGGGGGGTGATGGAATTGAAATCCAATGTTCGTTGTCATCGCGAAAAATCAGTGACAGTGATCTGGTTACACGGTGGATAGATTCATACTCTCTGGTTCTTTTGGTAAAGTCACGTAGGTGGAAAAATAATAGATCACGACGTTTCGATCGCAACACAAGCAGTCGTCCCCACCTGAGGACGATTGCTTGTGTGGCGATCGAAACGTCGTGATCTATTCTTTTTTCTAGCTACGTGACTTTACCGAAAGAACCAAAGAGTATGGATTCCTGCAGTCACGAAAGCTTCAAATCGGATAAATGAATAATTTCTAACTTTTGCCAAAGCAATGTACAGTACATCTCGTTATGTAAGCGCACTGCATGGGGTATTTTGTTTAATAACTTCATTGCAGTGTTGGGGATTTAAGTTTTGTGGACTTTGAAGAGTCGTTACGATGTTTCGCTTTTCATTGCCTGGAGTGGGTGGGGGTGGGCGGAGTGGTGGCACAGCGGTTAGCGCGTTGTGTCAGCGTGCCGCGTTTGTGTGCTGGCGACCATAATGTGATTCCTGGCCACGGCTAACATCAGTGGCAAGTGATGCCAGAATCGGTCATTCGTTTGCCACCTTTTCACCAATCCTACACAAACGAGCATGGTGAAGTATGGTTAAAAAATCGACCGTGACCAACACCACGTGTGGAAAGCCTTCATCCATTGATGGGTCTAGAATGGCTGGAATGTATTACAATGATTATACTTTTCATTGCCCAGGGCAGGCCAGGCTGATGGATATAGATTCAATATATCGAACTGTACAGCAGCAGCAGCAGCAGCAAAAATCATATTTGCTAAACTAAAGTGTATTTGCATTGAGTAGGATGAGCGCATGTTTTGATATTACATTTTACAGAACAAACAGAAAACCCATTCCTCTCTAGCCGGGTGTGAGAGTACATTCCTGTGATCCAACGCTGTGGAAGCAAGGATTGTTGGATCACGTACATCCTTGAAAACTGCCAAACCTACTGGGCTGCCAGATGTCCCAGAGATGGTGGTCGAGGAAGGGGATTTATTTCACCCGTGTCGAACTTGGAGTGTTTACTCCCTCATCTATGCACGCTGGGTATCGTTCAGGTGCGTGGGGTTTCCATCCCGCACAAAATCCCACGAAAGAAAACTGGCTAATACATCCATCCCGACGTAGGAAGGGCCCTGTTTTTGTTGTTGTTGTTGAACCAAAACAAATCATCTCACGACCCTGTCGAACTTTTCCCCGTATAAACAAAGGGCGCAGCTGTTAGCATTCTTACTCATAAGCGAGCCTGGGTTTGACGAGACATGAAACAAAGAAAGGGGAACGAACCCAGATCCACGAGCGCCCTTTGCACAAAATGCCACGAGCGGACTGCTCGGTGGCAAATTAGTTTGGAGGATTACCCCGACTTTGTTTTTTTATTATTTAAGAGAACGCGAGATTAAACCCGTGTTCTCGCGGCCTAAAAACACGGCCAACAGAGCGAAGAAGGATGGGACATCCCTCCCGGACAACGGTGAGAACTGATTTAGAAGTGGCACTTCCACCGGGGCTGCAGAGCGCACGACAATTGGGGGGGGGGGGGGGGTGGGGGTGGGGGCGGTGGGGGGCTCAAAATCGACGGGGTGAACCCATGGACCCCGCCGGAGAGAGACCGCACGAGACTCCCTGACAAACCTAAATTGCATCAAGTTGACGGGTTTACCCCGAGGGCTTCCCCCGCGATGCGACCGAATGCGCCGCTAAGCCCCGCCGTTTGGACGGAGGAAGCCTCCGCTGGAACGAGTCGTATGTGCGTGTATGTACAGGTGAGCGGTAGTGTAGCAGTAGTGTGCGGATTTTTTTAACCGATCCTGGGCTTCTCCTAGGTCGGCTCGGCCACGAATGAGTACCTGGTGCAGTGTGTAAACATCATCACTGGGGAGACAAAGGTTGGCCGGGCGTGGTGTTGGCCACCCACCCCTCGTGTGCCGTGCCGGCCTTCATAGGTGCTCGCTAACAGCACTTGCCCCAAGAGTCTGCTACAGGCTATACGAGGGATTTTTGTCTTTGTTTTTTTGGTTTGTTGAACTACGTAGATGTGGTGAAGAAAGGACAACAAACTAAACACAAAAAACAGTTCTAACGAAATTAGTTTCCAATCTAGATTTAAAAGTGCATAGCTCCAGTGCCTTCCTAATGTCGGAAGGAAGAGCGTTCCAGACGGCCGCATCACCAACATCCCCACCACCACCATCAACGTCATCGTGCAGAAATTAGTTTTCGACTTAACAGTGCATAGTTGCTCAGACGATCGTCTTGTAATGTGCACGGCTGCAAGCGACCGCCACGGCTCTGCCACACGACCCCGACGGAAGAACGCACGCTGCAACATCCCTCCCCCGCCGTTCCGTCGTTTGGGAGGTGCCGTGCATGCGCATGGCTTGGTGCAGGTCGCGGGCAACAGAACGGGGTGTGGTGGCGGACGTCGCATGACGGGGGGAGGGTGGCAAAGCAAAATGCGCCCACGGAAAGGTTTCCGTTTAATTTGCGTGTCGTTCCTGAATTTATGCCGGATGCTGATGAAAGTGCCAACCTTTATTAATCATAACCGAACGCCTGCGGAATATGAATGGCCTTGGGACAATGGGTTTTAAGGCGATCTTTTGGAGAGAAAAAAAACCGTGCCCTACACGAGCCTAAATCAAAACACCAGGCTTCCTCCTCCCCCCCGCATCCCATGAACTTGAGTGTTAAACATCTAACTGCATTACCAGAGTTATACGGATCATATTGGTTACGCAATTGTGAAATAAATGAAATAAATGCTCCTAGCAGAGTCATTACAATGCAGGGAATGTGAATATGACACTTTTACTGGTTTGATAGTTGCATAAATTAGGCGTCACGCCGTGGCCTATAAATGAACAAGAGACGGGAAAAGATTGGATCGTGCATT